GCGTAGTAAAAAACATCAAGAGACAAAAGCAAATGGAGTGTCATGGTGGTGTCTAGTCCGAAGACCACGGGGTAATCTCTTGTCCCTGCAAAAGAAGAGGGTAAAAGGAAAGCTGCAGCAAAGCTACTCCATGACCGTTGCGCTAGTCGCTGCTCCTGCGCCGAAATGGATCGCTCACCACGCTGCGCGGCGTATGGCTGCAAATTATAGTAGTAGTAAGCAGCCAAATAGAAAAAACATAGCAGTAAGATTTTGAAAGAAATATAAATATAAATCAGAGGGTTACAAACACACAAAAAAAAACATATGATAGTTTAATTAGACTACAGGAAAAACATAGAAATCAGATGATAAATATACACTTAAAGGAATTTTTTCAAGACATTAGGACCTGTTGCTAAATTTCCTCTAAAATTTCTATAGGAATTTTATATTCCATAGAAACTTTAAAGGATAAGATAAGATTTAATCCTTTGTTTTAAAGTCTTCGTAGAAATTTTTTTTATAGGATTAAAGTCCTCCAAAATTTTTATATTTTCCCTATAAATTAAAAGGGTCGTAAACCTTCAGCCAATCTTATGTAATGTAACCATCACATGTAACATGATTCTGAATGTTCAGATTATGATTTAACCAAGCCATTTCATGTTCATCTCGATCGATCGGCCAAAACTGCTCTTTTTGTTTAGCTTTGGAACTAATCATTGTCTCCTACACCTCCTTGTGGCCCACGGCCACTAGAGGGGAGCACCATTAGGACAAGTGTGGGCCACTAGAGGGGAGCACCATTAGGACAAGTGTTATGGTAGATGTGACTACCACATCTAAATTTATCCACATCACACTCATAAATTAAGAGGCAACTTATACAATATGTCTTCTCTAGTATATAAATACCAATGTCTCTTATACTCTCACACCCCTCTTGAAATTTGTGTGGAGGTTGTCTCTTCATTTAGGGGTGGTTCACCATCTCTCTCCTCACTTCTCTCCTCCACCTCATCACTCAATCCAATGTGGCATATTTAGGGGTAACATATAGAGCATTATAGTACTTGCTCTTATAAGGGCCTGTTTGGTACAGCTCCAACTCCTAAATTTAGCTCTAGGAGTTGGGTCTGGAGTGGAGTTGTGGAGCTGCCTAAACCCAGCTCCACAATTCTAGTTCATTTTGTGAGAGAGCTTCACCCAACTCTACTCCCAGTTTTGGTGGAGCTGAAACTATTTAGCTGAGCTCCAGCTCCAGGAGGGGTAAAGCTGAAGTTGGAGCTGTGCCAAACAGGCCCTAAGCCTGCATCTCCATGATGCTCCAATCCGGTACTCTAGATAGTAGCGGTATTATTATCTTTCTGTGCCCATAATACTACTAGTACATGCACACATCATGATGATGGATCACGCCATCATGGGACGACCATTTATTTTCGATGGCATCCAACTAAACAACGCTCGTTCGTGCAGTACGAATTAGAGCAGGTACAATAGCTAAGCCACCTGTAAATATATTTTAAGGAGATTAATAAGAAGAGATAAAAATAGCGGACTACAGATTTTTAGCTAGCTGTAGCACGGACTCTAAGACGCAGTGTGTGTATGACAGGTGGGACTAAATATTAATAGTGTAGTATGTAACTATTGTATTGATGAACTATTAGATTGATTATAGATGAATTAGAGCTAGTAGTTGGCTATACTACGAAGCTTGCTCTTAGTAGTTAGTAGTAAGTGGAGGCAATGAGAGCAGGGTTGGGCAGGCCTGTCTACGTGATGACCTTTTTAATTCATTGATAGAACATACAGAGACTGTAATTGCCTCTCCCTTTTGCCCATGATATCTGCATCCAACGCATCCCATGACCGTGTAGTTGGGTTTAACCGTTGCATCTTGAGATAAGAAAATCCTCAGTCACACTCTAAAATAATTTTGCATGCTCGCACTCGACTAATGCATGAAACTCTGATTCATTGCCATTGTTACAGACTTACAGATAGGACAATTACTTTTTTTTTCATATGGCCTATGTGGAGTTTAGAAAAGAAAAACAAAGATAGATTATGTGTCTCAAAAACATGTGACTTTCAATTCAACTTATACAAAGTTGTAACAAAATAAACTATGAATGTGTATATTAGTTTTAGTTTAATTTATATTTGATATTGCATATTTATACACTGGTATAATTTGTATTAATTTATCTTGTTATTTTTATAATTATTGAGATGACATGAGAAGACGAGAGGACGTTCTCTCCACGAATAAAAACTCTTTACCTGTTTATGAAGATGCTGCATGTGGATTGTGGACCATGCGGGGTTGCCCTAATTGAGAGCATCTCTGTTCCTAATTGTTGCGGTTATTCGGAGCTGGTCCTTCGTCTTGAACACAGTCGCCAACTCGCCATGATTCAACGGGAAAAAAAATGGGGCCGAGAGGTCTCAGAGCTGCCTGCGACGATTCACCACTTTCAGGGAGCATCCAGCTCTCCTGTAGCACCGAAAACACACACAGGCCATTCTTTCTACTGACAGTATGTACTCTAGGCCTACCGTTCAATTCGTATACTACTACGAGTACGTTGAAGCTACTCCCACAGTCTCCCACATTCACACTCTCGCTACCCTCATACTGTACTACAGTATGAGCTTGTACTCCCTCCGTTTCAAAACGTTTGACACCGTTGACTTTTTAAGTACATGTTTGACCGTTCGTCTTATTCAAAAAAATTTATGAAATATGTAAAAATATATGTGCACATGAAAGTATATTTAACAATGAATCAAATGATATGAAAAGAATAAATAATTACTTAATTTTTTTTTAATAAGACGAATGGTCAAACACATACTAAAAAGTCAATGGTGTCAAACATTTTAAAACGGAGGGAGTATATAAGAGCTGACACCGGTGGGAACGGAGGAAGCTTGACACTTCACTACCGGTTCTCTCGAACCATAGGATTCTCGCTAAACCCTCCTTAAAACATACTTCTTCCGTTTCAAAATGTTTGACGCCATTGATTTTTTAGCATATGTTTGACCGTTTGTCTTATTCAAAAAATTTAAGTAATTATTAATCCTTTTCCTATCATTTGATTCATTGTTAAATATATTTTTATGTAGGCATATAATTTTACATATTTTACAAAAGTTTTTGAATAAGACAAACGATTAAACATGTGCTAAAAAGTCAACGGTGTCAAATATTTTGAAATGGAGGGAGTATATACTATATCTATGAAAAAAAGGTTGAAGCTTTGGCCTGGTTTAGTTGGTAAAATTCTTTGCTCCTGCGTGTCACATCAGATATACGGATACATATTTGAAATATTAAATGTAGTCTAATAACAAAATAAATTACAAATTCCGTTAGGAAATTTTGAGACGAATTTATTAAGCCTAATTAATATGTCATTAGCAAATGTTTATTGTAGCACCACATTGTTAAATCATGACACAATTAGGCTTAAAAGATTCGTCTTGATATTTACACGCAAATTGTGTAATTGATTTTTTTCATATTTAATCCTCCATGTATGTGTCCAAACATTTGATATGATAGGTGAAGTTTTTGTTTTGGTAACTAAACAGCTCCTTTATCTCTATGTTCAGCCATATACTACTATTTATTGCTAGATTTGCCTCTAACAGGTGATTATATTCACAACTAATTAAACATTTTGTACGAGGTAAATGCTTAAACATTTATATACATATAGTACTTCTTCCGTCCTAAAATAACGAATTTTGACAGTTCTTCAGATTCGTTATTCTAAGATGAGATTTAGTCCATCTTTCTTGCTATCACTATATTTTGGAACGAAGTTATCATATTGTGGTCCTTGCTGTATGTACTGGCAAGGTTTACCGCACGATTATCGTGGTTATCACGTGTGATAACTTTCTTAAATTTTAACATTACGATATATCTCGCGGTAACCGTACGGTTTTTACAATAACCACGTAGTTATCGCAATAACCGTTAAACTATGGGACGATGGTAACCACCCAAAAATAGTTTGGGGAGCCCTGTGTGCAGGTCACTTGGTCAGAGCAATAATAATTACTCCAACTCTGGATGGAAACAAGAGGTTACAGTATAGATCATCGTCGCACAGTTAAGGCTGGACCCATCAACCATATGCACGCACCATATATAGCTGCAGCACTCAACGCGATTATTCCAAATGGACCCTTGTTTCGGACCGTTGCCGATGGTAGCGAACCGCCATTTTGCGCTGGCTCTGAGGGCCTGACGACGTCAGAGTTAGGGCTTCCCTGGGTGCGTTTGGGCCTTCAATTACCGTACACGATACCATTAAGCCCAATATTGTTTGGCCCATCAACTGCTCAGCCCAGAGCCCCAAAGAAAGCCACCAACTAGACGAAGAAGGAACACCAGCACTCTTTACCATTTCTAAAAATAAGCATTTCTAGAATTCAAAATTGTACTACTACGATATATATAAGTATTTCTAAGGTATTGATTCCAATACATGAAAATTTGTACATTTTCAACCAATGAAATGCTTGGGAAAGTAATCTAAACGATTCAAAGTTTAAAATTTGACCACTGAAATGACTTTAGAAGATCTTTTTTCAATGCATTAGTTTTTACTAAAAGACCAATCTAGAAATTCCTTTATTTTGGAAAAGGAGAGCAGTACACAACCAATTAGGTGGCCTGATCGATGAACTCAGAAAGCCTGTCGTGGATACTATTCACTTTTAAACTTTGTTCGCTCGTCTTTTTTACAAAATATTTACAAAGACAAAAGGATTCCACATTATTTAAACATATTATGTCCTAATATAAACATGAAACTTTAACTCAATTTAGTCTAACAATTTTGTAGTGCAATGTTAAAGGCAAAATAGTCGGTTATTTGAAAATGTGAAACGGATGGAGTACAATCCCCAGCAAGAAGGAACATACATATGCTTACAAAGCCTCATCAACAGAAGTGAACATTGCTATGCTCGTGGAATCCTCAACTCAAATCTTGTTTAGGTGTAGAATGCTCTTCCGGTCTCTTTATTAAGGACTATTGTCTGAACAACAGTATTTACAAGCTTTTAACATATAGGAGTATCTCGCTGAAAAACAAAAAAACATGTAGGAGTAGAGTAAGAACAAGACCAGAAGCTCATAATTATGACTAGAGGCCAATGAGGTGTTAATTCTGGGGAGATCCTAATCTGTCCTGCAAGTTTCAGCAAAGAGAAAAAGAGGATATGCAAAAATCTTGTCGTTTCAGAAACATAAGCTATACTGAATTTTTTTTTATCTTCTGGGCACAAAGGGTAGCTCCAAGCCTACCACTCTGTCAAGATGGCGACCACCGATACTGCTGCCAGCTCCCAGTTAAGCTTGCTGCAATTTCAGATATCAGCATGCTCCACAGGACGATGTTGATTCGGTGTTTCTTGATTCTCCAGGGGCATGTACTGAGCCATGATCGCACGAATCTCTGAATCCATGTAACTCTGGTTTGGCATGATGGTAACACAAAGTATGAGTTAGCCGTAGATTATTGCAAACATAAGAAGAACTAGAAAATTACGTGATCATTCGGAGATGGATTAGAATAGAAGGATGAGTTGTTTACCCGTAGCCGATATTTGTATACGGCATATGCTCCAATTCCAGCCAAAGCGAGGCCAAAGAAAATAACCCAAAGGAAGCCCCAGCCCACTGACGAAGAAGCAACTTTGCCTGCACAGTGATTGCGAAAGGCGTCACATAAAACGTTCTAAAGCGAATGAAATTATGTGTGCATCAAAGTTCCACTCCTGTTTTGCATCAAATCAACATAACATAACATACAACATTTTGAATGAGGCATGAAAGAATTGTGATATCTTTCAAAAGGAATTTGGTTGTGATAGTCCGTTATCAAACATGACAATGATCCAGATCATGGCGCAGTCAAGCAGACTTGCATTGCATATTTTCAAGCCGCCAGCAGATGGACTATCGCAAAAGCAAAACTAGGAACATCTGAAATTTCTACAGAAGTTTCAAGGCTGAGTAACAAGGGATGATACAAGTGTATGTTGGGATAACAATCTCAGAACATGATCACAAGGTCCAGAATGCCGATAAGTAGAAAATTGAACAATATAAGACTACAAGGGAACAAAAAAAAAGGTTAGGGGACTCACTGATGCAAGTGTCATGCTCTCTCATGTATAACATATTACTTCCACCACAGCTGCACTCATAGCTTCCCCATGTATTCTCACAAGAGCAGTCCTTGCACTGGCAGAAAAGCTTGTCTTTGCATTCATCAATATCTGAAAACGCCAACCAGAGATATGTTAAGTAATCACCTAACAGTTTCAAACTATTCAGGGTTTGCCAGTACTAGTTTGTATGGGTTTTACAAGATGGTTGGCTCAAGCAGAAATATCAATCTTTCTATATTTAAAAGGAAAGTTTTGCCACATGGAGTAATATTACCTTCACAACTTTTTATACCATCACCCTTGAAACCTGGTGGGCATTTGCAGCCTTTAGATTCTTCATTCTGTAGAGTTCCATGATTAGTTCTGACCTCATAGAACAGCCGCAAACTAGAAGACCTCTGGAAGAGATTCTTACTGAGCAGGCAGAAACCGTCTTCCCATTTTTAGTTTCCTTCCAGCAGCCTCCGTTGTTGATTTGGCACCTACCGACACCAGAAGCTGCCAAAGGGCCAGCCGTAAACCAAACAATGTAATACTAATAGTTGAAATAATAAAACAATTAGGATGTGTTATGCATAGCACAGTCTATAGCAAGGAAACAGTATTGTTTCAAACAAATGAAAAAATGATTCCAAAGAAATAAATGCTGCCAACCCATCTTGACGAAATAAAATGCAAATGTGTACCTTCACAGTGAGTGTACCCGTCACCAACGAACTTCACACCACGGGCAATAGGGCATTCACAAACTCGCCCACGGAAGGTGTCCTACAATATGTAACACAGCAAATAAGAATGTGCACCTCAAACTGAATAGAGGTGAATGTCGTAACCAGTATCAGATTATCAATAGGTAGTACTACCTCCGTTTCAGGTTATAAAACGTTTTGACTTTGGTCAATGTCAAACTGCTTTAATTTTAACCAAGTTTATAAAAAAAAGTAGTAACATTTTCTATTAGGAATGTATAGCCATATATGTATAGGATTCTTTTGTATCCTTAGTTTCCTTGTATACTCCTCTAATTGAGGACCCTGTATATTGGAAAGGCTATAATATATGGTCACCCCCCCTCTTTGGGGAGTGTGGTGTTCCCTCCTATTCTCTCTACATGGTATCAGATTTCAGGTTCTACTCCTTCCTTCCGCACCCCTGATCTCCCCTCTGTGTTGCGCCTTGCGCCGGCGACGTCCCCTGCTGGTCGCCGCCCTCCTCGTCGCCATGTCGACGTCTTCTGCCACCTCTGCTGCGACCGACAACTCCACAGCATCGGCCTCCACCAACTCCGTCGCGACCGTCTTCGTCAACCCGTACGCGACCATCTCCGTCAAGACTCATGTCCCGATCTCCCTCGAGCTTCGCAACCCCAACTTCAACAAGTGGAAGACCTTCTTCCGCTCGATGTGCGGCAAGTTCGGCCTCCTCGACCACCTCGACGACTCCGCACCTCCTGCAGCCCCCGACACCTCATGGGAGCAAGCCGACTTCTGCATCCGCAGCTGGCTATTCGGCTCGGTCACCGACGACGTCCTCGACCTCGCCATGGAACCGGATCAGACGGCTCGCGCCCTTTGGCTCGCCATCGCCGACCTCTTTCAAGCGAACAAGGAACCACGTGCAATCTTTCTTCATCATGAGTTCCGCTCCATGATCCAAGGCGATCTCTCCATCACTGCCTACTGCCAGCGCATGAAGACGGCAGCCGATGCCCTTCGCGACGTCGGGCACCCCGTCACGGAGTCGCAGCTGGTTCTCAACCTTCTGCGCGGCGTCAACTCCAACTTCACCAGTACGGCGGACAACATCGCAAGTGCTCCTGTCCTCCCGTCTTTCGCTTCTGCGCGGAACACCCTTGTTCTCAAGGAACTCCGTCTGGCCAACGACGCCAAAGTTCAGACAGAGACCGCCCTTGTCGCGGCAAGCAGCGCTGCTGCCTCTTGCCCCTCGGGCTCCTGCTCCTCCACTGGAGGTGGCGGCAAGGGTGGAAACAAGAAGAAGAATGGCGGCCGCAACTACAACCGCAATGGCGGCGGTAACAACAGCGGCAACAACAGCGGCAGCGGTGGTGGAAATCGTCAAGGCGGCGGCGGCGGCACCTTCTCCTTTGCTGTCCCGCGCCCCCCAACTGGACCATGGGTCTGTGTCTCCCAATGGGCCGGCCAGCAGCAGCAGCAGCAGTGGCGCGCCCCCGGCATCCTCGGGCCTTTTCCTCAAGCCCACACCGCCTTTGCCGGCCCGTACTCGTCGCCGACCACCTCTGCAGCGCAACCGGCCTGGGATCAGGCTAGACTGGTGGCTGCCCTCAACCAGATGACGGTCCACAGCCCCAATTCTTGGGTCCTCGACACCGGCGCGACCTCGCACATGTCATCCACCGATGGTATACTCGTTACCCGCTTACCCAACTCTCACACCTATATTACTGTCGGCAATGGTCACACTATTCCGGTTTTATGTCGTGGCTCTTCCTTTCTACCTATAGGCACCACCAAATTTGATCTCAAACATGTCCTTGTTGCTCCTTCCTTGGTTCGCAATCTTCTTTCCGTTCGCCAATTCACTCGTGACAACCATTGTTCTATTGAATTTGATGAGTTTGGTTTTTCTGTCAAGGACCTCCGGACCCGGCGCGTGATTCTTCGCTGCAATAGTCATGGCGATCTCTACACCCTACCGGCAGCCGCACCACCCATCGCCGCCCACTGCTTCCACGCCACCTCCACCACCATTTGGCATCGCCGCCTTGGCCATCCCGGATCTGCAGCCATCCTCGCTCTATAGCGCCTCTCTGCCATACCCTCGTCAAAGCCAGATAGTTCCCTTTGTCATGCATGTCAATTAGGCAAACATACCCGTCTTCCCTTTACTAGATCAAGCTCCAGTACTTCCTCTCCTTTTGAATTAGTTCATTGCGATGTATGGACATCTCCTGTTTTGAGTACCTCTGGCTACAAATTTTATTTGGTTATTCTCGATGACTTCAGTCATTTTTGTTGGACATTCCCTCTTCATCATAAGTCTGATGTTCACCAGCACATTGTGGATTTTGTTGCATATACACACACACAGTTTGGTCGCCATTTGAAATGCATACAGGCAGACAATGGCGCTGAGTTCGTCAACCGCAGCACCACCTCCTTCCTTGCTAGCCGCGGCTGCCTGCTCCGCCTTTCCTGCCCATACACATCCCCGCAAAATGGCAAAGCCGAGCGTGTACTTCGCACCATTAACAACTCAGTCCGCACCCTTCTCCTGCAAGCCTCCATGCCTCCTGCCTATTGGGCCGAAGGTTTAGCCACAGCCACATATCTCCTAAACCGACGTCCTTCCTCATCCATACAGAACTCCATCCCATTCCAGCTCCTCCACAATAAAATCCCGGACTACTCCCTATTGCGTGTGTTTGGATGTCTTTGCTACCCTAACCTTAGTGCCACCGCTAGCCACAAACTCGCCCCTCGCTCTGCCGCATGCGTTTTCTTAGGCTATCCCACCTCACACAAAGGTTACCGCTGCTTCGACCTCTCCACTCGCCGCATCATCATTTCTCGCCATGTTGTCTTCGATGAGACTTGTTTTCCGTTTGCTCGTCACCCGGTCGATGTCTCTTCGTTTGATTTTCTGCTACAGGAAGTGACTACTCCCACCGTGGTCGCTCCACCCGTCACGGGTGTCGAGCAACCGCGGCCCTCCCTGCCCCGCGCCACGGATGACCCGGTGCGGTCGTCTTTGGTGGCTGCTCCCTCGGCTGAGGTCGAGCAGCCGCTTCTTCCCTACACGATGGTGGTCCCGGCTGCTGGGTTGGCTTGGCCGGCTGCTGGGGACCCAGTGCCCACGACCCGGACGGCCACCGGGCCTCTTCTTCCAACTACGGCACGGCTGGTCGAGCCCTTCCCGCACGTCTATCGACGACGACAGGCCACGCCACCACCGCGCCTCGACGCTGCACCGGCACCTCCCCTAGTCGTGCCGCCCCCGCCAAGCCGCATGGTCACGCGCTCCCAGACCGGCTCCCTCAGGCCTGTCGACCGCCTCATCCTGGCGGCTTCCCACTCCGCTATCTCCCCGGTTCTGACCAACTACCGCAGCGCGCTCGCCGATCCCAACTGGCGTGCTGCCATGGCGGATGAGTACAAGGCCTTGATCGACAACGGCACTTGGCGCTTGGTGCCCCGCCCCCCGGGTGCTAACATCGTCATGGGCAAGTGGATCTTCAAGCACAAGTTTCACTCCGACGGCTCTCTCGCTCGGTACAAAGCTTGTTGGGTGGTTCGCGGCTACTCCCAACAACACGGCATCGACTACGACGAGACCTTCAGCCCCATCGTCAAGCCGTCCACGATCCGAGTCGTCCTCAGCATTGCGACCTCACGATCATGGCCCATCCACCAGCTCGATGCCAAGAACGCCTTCCTTCATGGCACGTTGGACGAGACGGTGTACTGCCAGCAGCCCTCCGGCTTTGTCGACCCGGCCGCGCCCGACGCCGTTTGTCTTCTTCAGCGTTCTCTCTATGGCTTAAAGCAAGCCCCTCGCGCATGGTACCAGCGGTTCGCCACCTACATCCGTCAGCTCGGATTTGTTGCCTCGACCTCCGACACGTCCCTCTTTGTCTACAAGGATCGAGACCGCATCGCCTACCTCCTGCTCTACGTCGACGACATCATCCTCACTGCCTCCTCCACGGATCTACTTCGCCTCATCACCACTCGGCTGCACTCCGAGTTTGCCATGACGGACCTCGGCGACTTGCACTTCTTCCTCGGCATCTCCGTCCGGCGCTCCTCAGACGGCCTCTTCCTGTCCCAGCGACAGTACGCCATTGATCTTCTTCAGCGAGCCGGCATGTCTGAATGCCACCCCACCGCCACCCCAGTTGACGCTCGGGCCAAGCTCTCCGCCTCCGATGGCGCCCCCGTCAAGGATCCGACCGAGTACAGGAGCCTTGCAGGAGCTTTACAGTACCTCACTCTCACTCGGCCGGAGCTCGCCTATGCTGTCCAGCAAGTCTGCCTCTTCATGCATGATCCACGGGAGCCCCACCTTGCCTTGGTCACGCGCATTCTGCGCTACGTCAAAGGCTCTCTCTCCGCCGGACTCCACATCGGCACCGGGCCTGTCAAGTCTCTGACGGCTTACTCTGATGCTGACTGGGCCGGCTGTCCTGACTCACGACGCTCCACCTCCGGCTACTGCGTTTTCCTCGGCGACAATCTGATCTCTTGGTCTTCCAAGCGTCAGACGACTGTCTCTCGGTCTAGTGCGGAGGCTGAGTACCGCGCTGTTGCCCACGCCGTCGCCGAATGCTGCTGGCTTCGCCAGCTTCTCCAGGAGCTTCATGCCCCCATCGCCTCTGCGACCGTTGTTTACTGTGACAACGTCAGCGCTGTCTACATGACGGCCAATCCAGTGCATCACCGTCGCACGAAGCACATCGAGATCGACATTCACTTCGTTCGGGAGAAGGTGGCTCTCGGACAGGTCTGTGTGCTCCATGTACCGTCGTCCCATCAGTTCGTCGATATCATGACCAAGGGGCTGCCTGTGCAGTTGTTCACTGATTTCAGGTCCAGTCCTTGCGTTCGTGATCCTCCCGTTGCGACTGCAGGCGGGTATTAGGAATGTATAGCCATATATGTATAGGATTCTTTTGTATCCTTAGTTTCCTTGTATACTCCTCTAATTGAGGATCCTGTATATTGGAAAGGCTATAATATATGGTCACCCCCCCTCTTTGGGGAGTGTGGTGTTCCCTCCTATTCTCTCTACATTTTCAACCCAAAACAAATTTATTATCAAAATATATTAAATTATTGATTTGATGACACTAATTTAGTATTATAAATATTACTATATTTGTCTATAAACTTAGTCAAACTTGAAACAGTTTGACTTTGTCCAAAGTTAAAACGTCTTATAACCTGAAACGGATGGAGTAGCATTTTTCCATTAAAATTTTATACCTTGCACGCAGTAAAATTATTAGTCTTGTCCTGCCAGCACCCTCCATTGCTCTCCAAACATTCATTTGTTTGGATCTCTATAAACGAGAGAGCAAGGTAATAAAAGGAGAGAAAAATCAGTACAGCATCGATCAAAATCAGTAAACTTCATAAAATGAAACATAAAAATTTACAAACCTTGACTCAAACAAACATCAGGTTCAGTTGTCTCCTCAAATCCTGAGCATACTGCTTTTAACACAGCACTTTTCTCCAGCTTACCTAAAGAGAGACTATTATATGACATAACAGGCTACAGCATCGAGCTAAAGAAAAATTGCGCAATAGATACTACTAGTGCACCTCTGTACTGCTTGTTGTTAACGACAAGGGTCGGCAATATAGTGACATCTCCTCGAGAGCCTTGACCAATCTGAAAGGACAAAATCCACAAAGATCAACCTACCACAGAACTATTGAATAATTTATGAATGAACAGACTCTACATAACAAAAACATTATGATTAGTAATCAATAGTCTTTACTTGAGCATCTTGTTCCGCTTTAAGCACGGGATTTTCTTCATCAGCTTCAGGGTCTCCCACACACTTGTTGATCCTCTCAAGGTCCAATCCTGTGAAATGACATATCAAATGGTTCAAATCAACCATTTGGTTCAAACAATAAAGCAATTATGCTGAACAAAGTTAACTACACCAACCAAGTGACTTGATAACACCATTAGCGCATTCACGCGTGTATTTCTTCTCCTTCATTGGGCACCTAATTGAAAAATCGTGTACATAATCCCACCACACCCATGGTTTGTGAGTTTCATTGCCAACCTTGAACAAGCAAATCTGAATCAGGTTCTGAAGCACAACATCTTTTCCATCATATCCAATGTTGAAATCCTGCTCTGGATCTGGAGCGCAGTATCTCCCATGATTGATACACTGAGATCTGCACTGCTTGCTCAGGACAAAAGCTTCCGGACAATACCATGTAATGTAGTGAGGGGTGAACTGAGTGTAACCCCTTTTCTCAAGAACCTGTGCTGTTCCTCTGAAGTTCCTCACAAAATTCATTTGCATGTCACATTTGGCACCACATTCATCGTTGCTGTTTGTCCAGAATTCATACTCTACACGCTCATCAGGATGAGGGAGAGATTCCCTCCAATCCAGAAGGACATTGACCATATCACCGTTTTCCAGTGCTTTCTTAAGGTCGTCCCCAAACTTCTTCGTTACAAGTGCTGAAGGAACAGTAATTTTCTCTATGTAATCTGTGCCACTAGACTCTGGAGAGTCCATTGTTATCAAAGGCTCCAATCTATCATCGGCAACAAGAACAGCTGCAGCTCCAGCGGTTTGAGCATTCCATCCCTTTGTTGTGAAGTAGCAGTCTGCACATCACAAAGAATTAAAGATCCCCACTTTGAACAATAAAATCTGCTTTAACAGTTACATTACGCCTAAGAAACAGGAGAAAAGAAGTTACAGCCAAACATACAAATGGCATGACTACATTATTTTTATGGAACACAAAGATACTGATATTTCTTCTTCCATAAAATGTAATTACCAACAAATAATGCAGAGTTGAGAACTTTCACCTCCTGTTTAACCTAATATTCAGAATGAAATCCACTAGGCTGGTTCACATATTTATACTGATGGCCATATATACAGTTCTATGTATAGTGTCCATTTCTAGCTCTAAATCGCCTTCTATGTGCAGCTTTTCTACCAATAAAACTGTAGCCAAAGCAGTGACATAAGTTGTAGAGCAAGACCTTTGAAATTGCAAAGAAAGAAAATAAATCCTTTTTGAAATAGCAGTAGCCGCAAAAGCTAAATAATTTGGACAGTCAAAGCACATGATTTTATTCCCTGACTCACTCAAAAAGCACAACAACTAAACGTAAGCGTGCACAATCTTTCTCTAAACAAGATTTGACCATGGAACCCAGCTACTTACCCAAAATTCCAACAAACCATGTACCGAACTTACAAGCAGATAGAGAACTGCACTATATGCCAACTACCAAATCAGGTACCCTACTAATTAGGACAAAATTGCATATGAAATGACAAATAGCGTGTATCGAATTATCCTAGTTAAGGAAAAATCCATGATAAACCATTAGACAATAAAAAAGAACTAAAGCAGCTTGTAATGACAGTGCACCCCTCTGCCAAACTTATTCACTGACAGAATATGGCTACAGAGTACAAAATGAATCGTTTTCCTTAAATGGACTGCAGAGTACATAGACTTCCAAGTTCCAAATCATTTTGTTTGGGTTAGGAGTTAAGAGTAGAACAATTCAAGAACATGTTGTTATTAACATTAGGTGCAAACTTTCAGTCAAAAGAAAAAAAAACATTAGGTGCAAACTGCTAGTTAGGACAAAATGAGAAAAAAAATGCGAGTAACATTATTAAATTTCTCATATCCTAGAACTAGAAGTGACTGTTAGCTAGGACCACATTCAATAAATAAAATAAATTAAAAGATGCGATATTTAAAATCACTCACGAGAGGGAAAATAAATCTCCCCCAATAATAAATAAAAACTGAAACGGGTTCGAATAAATCAAGAAAGGGGGAGGACCTCCGCGATCGACGAGGAGGAAGATGGGGAGGCCGCCGGGCTTGGGCTTGAAGGAGAGGTCGAAGTCGTCGAAGGACCTGCAGGCCTTCTTGTTGGCCTTGGGGTAGACGACGACCCCGTGCATGGTGCCCCCGTACTGCGGCATCCCGAAGTTGCCGATGGCGCACTCGTAGACGCCCCGGAGCCCCGCCGGCGACGTCACCCGCAGGCTGTTCTTCTCCACCACGAACCTCCCCGCCGCCTCCCCCGCCATGGACGCCACCACCACGAGCAGCACGGCACACCCCATCATCGTCATCTTCTCCCAATTAATCCTCGGCAAAAGAGGATTGGGGATCAAAGAAAAGATGGGTTCTTGGATCGAGCTAACGATCGATCGATCAGAAATCGCGGTTTGGGTGGCGTGGTGGCTTGGTAGGGAGAAAAGGCGAGGCGAGGCTTTCGCGGGAGCAGGAGTGCAATAAAGGAAGCCTGCCCTACGAAGGATTTGACCGGGAGCTATCGGTATCGCTATTGCTAATTTGCTAGGATTGCTAAAGCTAGCGGAGTGAGATGAGATCCGGAGATAGAGATGTACTCCCTCCATCCAAAATATTTGACGCCATTGACTTTTTAAAAAATGTTTGACCGTTAGTCTTATTCAAAAAATTTAAGTAATTATTAATTCTATTCCAATCATTTGATTTATTGTTAAATATACTTTTATGTATATATATAGATTTACATATTTCAAAAAAAAATTTAAATAAGATAAACGGTTAAATTTGTTTAAAAAAATCAACGGCATTAAACATTTAGGGAAGTAGGGAGTATGTACGTGGCGAGTGCTCGTGGGCATTGGGGTTGGAAGTTGGAACGCTTCCAATGCAGATGTGTCACTGTACATGTTCTATTCTCTTCTTGCTCGTCTCGTCTTTTCTTTGCTTTTGCGTCTCGTGTTCGTGAGCGTGAGTATCGATATCGTGAGGGCTCGGCGACCGGGCGCCTTTATGCTAGAAAATTGACGCGCCTTATGGCGCGATAAGCATCTAACCCGTATACATTTTATAGAACACATGTAAAAAAATATATAAAAAAATTAAAAATATATTTTTACAACATATATATTTGTATTGCTAAGATGGCTCGAAAAAGGTTATCATTTTCGCTCTAGATGGTAGAAATTTCCACATTAGTCACTAAGAAATAAAAAAGATTTGGACCATTAGATTCAAAACAAAAAACTAGCAGTTGTATATGAGATCCAATCATATTTTAAAAATCTTTTGATTAGAAAATACAATTTTATTTTAAAAATAGAATTTATATTGAATATAGTTCTACTTTTAAAATTTAGCATCATGCAATTTACAGAACAATCCGCTAGTTTTTAATAAAACATGAAGTAAATCATATTATTATGGAATCCTTCAAATTCCACTATTTTTCATCCAAACTGTTTAAGGCTCCTTTGTTTGTGTAAAATTATAATTGAATTGTCTACTGAACTAAATTATATAATACATGATTTTTTGAACACTTGGAAAAAAATATATCTCAAATGTGATACAAATCACGAATCTATCGTTAGCGCCCATATTTCTAACCACATTATTTATATTTTAGACCGGGCCATATATTTTGTTGTCTTTTCCTTTTTATGGCCATACCGGTGAACTCTGTCAACCAAATCTGCATCCAACCAGCCTGCAAGTAGTAATACACTCACTTATGTTTCTTCTAGAAATCACCAGGGTCCTCTCAAAAATAAAAATCATCGCATGGATTGATCCACTGGACTTTTCTGGATTTTTTTTCTCACCAAATAGATACGTGTCAAATAATTAGAGGGGAACTAATCAGCTGACAATAAAGATTATATAGAGAGAGATAGGAAGGATCACCTCTCTATGTTTCTCAAAGAGAGGTAAATTTCTAGAAATTGTACCAGATTGACACGTGGCAATTTTTGGAGATGGTTAGCTAATTTTTTCAGGCTGCCAGGTGGCCCAATAATATGCCACGATCAGCACCCTGCAATCGATATGTAAGATATCATTAATCTGGAAAAGCTGTCTGTCCAAATATATACTTTATTTTAATTTTTATGTAGGATTGTGGATTTATGTCCAACGCTTACGTCCATTTAATTAAAAAAATTATTAATATTTTTATACAGTTATTAGATGAATAATATTTTATATATGGCTTATTTTTCTAATTTTTTTATGATTTTAATAAATAAGACGGATAATTAAACTTTAGAAATAAGATCTACGGATAGTTACGGATAGATAGATTCGGGGATAGCCTAGATGAGTCAATGGCTCGCCGTGTAGTACGAGGATAAACCTTTTTAGATGGTCAACGGCAGGTGACAGCGACAGCACGATCGCCATCCGACGGTAAGTGTCAGGCAATCCAGGTGCCCAATTCTCAGCATCCAAGGTGCCAATTTTTTCAGCCTCTTTTCAACAACTAACCGGAGACTAATTTGCGTCAATAAATGAAGACAGTAACAGATAAAACGACGCCAAGACGATAAAACAGTAAATGGTTCGATACTCAGGAGCTAGATATGATATATATCCATCGATGGATCAATTCATATGAAGGCAGTCAGCACGCATACGGCAGTCTGAAAGCATGCATCTACGACAAACAATCATCAGGACCACGAATTTATATCACTGCTAAACCAAGAAAAAGGTTTCGCTGAGATGAGAAAAAACCAAGAAAAAGGTTTCGCTGAGATGAGAAATAACTCAATATAATCATCATTCCCCTCCTGGGGTTTACATGCAAGAGAAACCTACATTAAAATCAAACAAGGGAACATGACTGTCTTTTATATTATTTGCAGGGTCATCCAAGTTCTCTTCACTCAGAAATCATCCCGGAAACGTAAATGTATCAAAAGTTGCAGCCTTCCATATGCCTGGCAGACTTATGCCTCTGGTTCGGGTTTCTCAAAGAAAGTTTTCTTAATCCAGTCAAATGGCTGCACAAGAAATCAAAAGAATATTCAGAACCGGAAAGATCATCACATTTAAGAATTTAATTGTTCACAACAAAAAGGTAGAAGACAACACATTAACTGCAAAACTATAACTTCAACACAGATCAAAGTTAAGAGCGGAAATCCCAGATTATGTATCTTGTAACCAGTTGTGTAACTCAAGTTACATGTTAACAGGTAGAGTAACCCCATACATAACAGATCACATAGGTATAAACGAATATTCTATTCGCATGTTTCAACAATGCAGCAAAGGCCTCCCAGATTCTAATCACAAGAGGCTAAAGGAAAGTAAGGAACAAAGTTTTATTCGCTACAAGGAGCAAAGTGCAGGTTTCAGCCCAACGGAATTCCACGTCTTAGGCTTAAAAAACTAGGAACATATTCCATGAACCATAATGAACAAGTTATATCATGTGCTGAAGCTCTCTCAGATAAAGAAATAAAGCACCCAGACAGAAAACTGTGTTGGAACCCAAGACAGTGCTAACAGGCCATGTAGGGTACATTTAGCTACACAAGTTAGTCACACAGCAAGGAATCAAATCTCAGTAAAAGTAATCAGGAATAGTGTAGTACATAAGTCGGTCAATTAAAATTCAATAACCGGTTTGCACAGAGGTCTTGAAAGAGCAATTGCTGGGGAAAGCTCACCCAAAAACATAGACTCTTGCCTTGCCCAAGGGCCATATCACAAAGTACAGGTAAAAATAAATTGACTGATCCAAAATGGCGAATTTGTTTGGCTGTATCTAGGGGCTCCTATGGTGAGTTTATGGGCATATATTGGTTATGTTGAACTGTCAAAGATTTTATCAGATATTCCTCCTAGGAGAGAACAGGAAATTATACATCTTCACTACAAAAAAGCCCATCAGGGTAAAGCAAATCAAGGTAGTGAGCAGAAAACTAGCAGGATCTCGTGAAAGCAAAATTATATTACACAACTACGATAACTAAAAGTTTATTATGTTATCCATCAAATGTTGCAAAATTCAAATAATGGGATGTATACTTGCATTAGTTACCGAATTGTACAATGTACCGAGTTTAACTGTCAATCAAAGTTTGTGTTTTTGCTAAACTTTCTTCTAATATATGCCTATTAATCATCAGGCAAAATATTTAATGGTATGAATATCATCACAAAGTTATATAAGGCATGGTAGACACAGCCAAACAGCAATTCCTGTAGATAAAGTTGTGGCCTTAGTCTCCACAGAATCATTTCTTCTTCCCCCATCAATTTCTCTATCAGATCAAGCGGCAAATTTGACTGCAACCTACAAACCATATACGTAATCCGTGTAACGCGCAGAAATCATAAGGTAGCAAATCGAACAGAGGAGCCCTACGACCGATCCAACACGCCACGCAGATCTAGGGACCGACAACATGCCAAACAAACATGACAGATCCTACCTACAAAAACCAAACCCTAACGTCGATGGGGCAAAACATATCTACGGATCAAGACATCCCTACAAGCTGGGGGGGGGGGGTATAAAAAGGCGTCGTGGATCGAACCCCCTGACCTGGACGAGGTAGATGGCGGCGGTGCCGGCGAAGACGCCCCAGGTGGCGGCGGCGGCGATGTCGGTGGACTGGGGGCGGCGCCGTGGAGAGATGAAGCGGAAGAGGCCGGAGCTCGACGCCGGGAGAGCCATCGCCGCCGCAAATCTCGTCGCGTCGACTCGACCTAGGGCAAGGTAAGGAGGAGGAATGCGAGAGGAAGGAGACGACAAGGGTTGCGGAATTTTGTTGCTTGTTCTCATCCTTCTTCCGCGTGTATATGGGCCTAAGTGGGCCGACGGGCTGAAGAGCTCGTGGTAGATGGGCCGGATACACTATGGGCCTGAAACAGTACGGGCCTAAAGGCCTTAGGTGGTGGGTTCATCTGGCCTTATTGGGGGACAGAATAACTCTTGTCATTTATTCAGGCAAATTTTGTTCAGTTTTTCTCTGAAAAAGTAACTGTAGGTAAATTATTTTTTTTTGAGAATTATACGGTACAACGCAGACACTCACAACGCACGCACACTCACCCCTATGAACGCACGCACTCAAATTCTACCCTTATGAGCATCTTCGAAGACTAGGCCGGCAAATCCATCTTGGAGATTGACGAAGTCACCACAGACGCCTCGCTGTCGACGGATACGTCGCCTACCACTGAAAGCACAAATTAAAGCCGTTAAATCCTGGAAAGACCTAAGGTTCTACTGAGGCTCTTATAAGCACTAGACTACAGGCTCTTTCGCAACTGTAGGTAAATTATTGTGTCCAATTGGATTATAAAAAGTAGGAAAAGTTGCTGCACTCTCAGATAAACATAATCAAATTAATACAGGTTCTAATTGAGCACCAACTTGCTATATGAAAACTGAACTTCTTCGCTTGCCGTCTTAAAATGTGTTGCCTTTTGGAATTGAGTATATATATCACGACAATACAGTATGAATTAGCTTTACAACAATTCTCCTTACAAGTTGTAGTGAGTCTTGACGATGAAGGTGAATCGAGACAAAAACACCCAATAGTGAAAGGAGTTGAATGAAACGTACATGCACGCATGCATTCAGATTCAGTTGGCGACCAAAGACAAATTCAGTAGTAAACTCTCGTAGTGTCGATACCTATCAAGCCCAGAATTATTGAGCCATACTTTGAGCTCGTGCCACAGAAATGTTTAATCTGATCGAGCTGATCTTAACTTTTTTGCATTGTTTTTGTGGACGGATCAGAGTCGGTGAAGTGAAAAAAGGGAAGAAAATTCAGCAGCACACAGTCACTAGCTGAGTGTACTTGCGTGGCAGGTGGTTTTTATCGGCAAGTAAAATCCCTCGACCTAAAAAGCATGCTCTTAGTTGAGAATAAACAAGTAGACAGCACATCGTTCTAACTCGCATATCCATAGTTCCAAACCGGCAGATTCACTGAAAGGAACCTATGATATACAACTAACTAACGATTCCATTATATGTGTTGCTTAATTTAATTGTAAAGGTCATGGGAGTGATCATTAGAACAGGCTTTCGACGTAAGAAATACACTTGAATCGTATTATTTATATTTACGAGGAAAAGCAGAAGGATCCAAAGTTCAGAACAGTAATGCACTATCTAGGGAATGTTCGGAATGCTTTCAGAATCTCTGTTAGCCAAATCAAACAGCTTTATGATCTTTAGATCGACTTTCATTAGCCTTGAGTGTGTTGATAACCATGCATGTCCTTTTACTGATCACTAGCTAGCTAGCACATGCCAAAGAAAAAAAGCACCAAGGCTTTAATTTTACACGTGTAAATTCATGGATAGAAAACTGGAAATGGATACAAAAAATATTCTAAACTATTTGTGAAAGAGATCGAGATCGATCGATCGATCGACTTCAGACCACGACTTGGTCACGAAGTTTTCACTGCTTTCGCTCGCTAGCTACATGGTTATCGATAACTTGGAGAGAATTATTGGATTTGTTGACTTAATTGAGACAAAAACATGGACGAGTTTTGTATATGATCTATCTAACCGAAAGAATAGTTCGTCGTTGGGGTCCATACAAGCACGTGCTACCTTGCTTCCGCTGTTGAAATGATCAAAGTGTGTGTATTATATGTGTAGCTAGAGCCATGCGACCTAATGATCGACAATGTCAACTTCAACCTATTAATGTAGGCACTATACAACAAACAAGAGACTCAACTTGACTCTCTAGATATATTTATATGAGGGTCGACTTATGTTCTTACGCGCTGCAAGTTGAGAATTAAATTTCCTCTATGTTTTCCAATTAATCGTTCGTGCAAATAATCCATATATATGCACGGTCTAGAACTGTAGATCAAGTCATCGCAAGTGAAAAACAAAAGACCAATCAATATCTATTCCATTATCTAAATATCAACTGCTTCCTGAGTTCCAATAACTAGTTACTGAGCTAATATATACCTCCGTATCAGAATATCTCCCTCCGTCCGTATCAGAATCTAAAAATCACCCTAGATGTGTCCCATCCAACCAAAACTTATTATATTTTGAGATGGAGGAGTAATTTTTAGCTATTTATCTGAATTATTTTAGGATGAATGGAGCAATTAACTTGATCTAATACTTTTATTAAAATTAACTTATGTTGATAATTCTAAAACTACAATTACACGTACGTACAGGAGACCATACACTGTATGCATCTTGACCATACATTGGATGCAGGTAGACACATGTAACAAGAGGCTGAATGAATGCCACGTACGTGATGGATATATGCAGTAATTAATTAACGCAGTCTTCCGCAGGATCTTAATTTGTTTCCGATGTGAAGTGTTTTGTCTCCTTGCATGTGTCGATTGATTGAGCCATTTTTCAAGTACATGACAGTACCTATAAACGCATGCACTAGCTAGCTACTCCCTCCGTTTGTATATCATAAGTCATTTTGATTTTTTATAGTTAATTTTATTTAAATTTAATTAAGTTTATAGAAAAATATAGTAGCATTTTCAACTCAAAACAAACATGCTATCAAAATATGTTAAATGTTAGATTTAATGAAACTAATTTAGCTTTTTAGATGCTACTAAGTTTTTATAAACTTAATCAAACTAAATAAAGTTTGACTGAAAAATAAGTTAAAACGATTTATAACATAAAACAAAAACAAACTGAAGGAGTAATTTTAAGTAGAATGTAAGTCAATAGTCTAAGTCTTCGGGGTGAAAGACTTTGATAGGTGGAAATGGACTTGGATGGATCGGAGGGAGTAGTGGGCCGCTAATACGAAAGTTTGTTGTGACAGCAACTTCTGAATTCTGAAAAAACTAAAAAGCTTTTCCAAACTTTTGTTGTCACGGGGGGGCAACGTGGATATCCATGGGTCCAGGCAAGCATCTATTCAGAGAAAGGCCTTTTAGAGCTTGCAAGAGGTTAGTGGCATGAGTGCACAATCTAAACAAAGCCACATATAAAAAATATTATGTGTAGTTCAAGAAAATTATAAATTATGTGCAGTAGCTTAAAGGGCATAAATTAAAGGCTAACCACGAACTGGATTGATACCAGCCGGCAAAACCATGTACAATAAATAACTACTTCATCAAATAGTTGTTAACTAAACTATGCTTTAAATTAAACTATGCTTTCAAATTAATCTTATCAAAATCTTGCCATTTCCTCTAAGATATAGAAAGGCGTTGTCATTGGCATGATACTAAATCTGTTAAGATTCGATTCACACATGTGCAATAATGCTAATCTAATTCTGCAAATTCAGCAGCAAGCTATACTATGCATACATGATCGTAACTAATTGACAGAGCAGCAACATTCTTGTTCCATATGCCATGCATATGGTAGATTTTTCCCTCGAATCCAAGGAGGAATGACACATATAGAGTTAATTACACTATGGTCCACCTTTTGTTACCAAAGTTTTATTTTGGGCTATCCTCTAACTCATATTTTCACTTTGGACCTTTGGTGCACTTTTAACCACCCAAAGTCATTTTATGTAGCTGCATCTACTCTATAATATTGTAAAGAATTGCCCGTGTAAGTTGAAAAAGATTACCGGTTTACAGGTTGCTGATGTGTTTAAAGTTGGAAAATTCATTTATGTATTCCTAAAAAGTTTATGGGGTGGTCCAAAGTGAAAGAAAGGTAAAGTAACCTAGCCCAAAGTGAAAAAATGTGTTAAAGGGTGGTCCAAAGTGAAACTTTGGTAATAAAAGGTGGCCCTAAACGCAATTTACTCACACACATATATATACCATGAAACTTTTCACCATACATCTATGGTGTCACATATGCACATTAATTTATCACTAAGAAAATTCAAACCCACGAAATAAAAAAAAGATAAATTTAGCTGTAAATTCTTTTCCACAACTTTTATAATCTGTTTGAATAACATTATATTTTGGGGGGTGAGGAACATATGCATGCAAGGGACATCTTGCTCCCTATAAAATGACCACTCTGAACAAAAAAAAAGTAACAGCATGAGTTTATTGGAGTTTTTATCTAGACATAAATTTGTTGTCAAATACTCCCTCCATACTTGTAAAGAAAGTCGTTTTGGACAGCGATATGGTCTCTAAAACATAACTTTGACTTCTTGTTTCTATAAAAGTATTTATTGAAAAGGTGATATACGTATACTTTTATGAAAGTATTTTTCAAGACAAATCTATTCATATAATTTTTACATTTTCAAACTCAACAAATTGAGAGTTATTTATGATTTATATTCCCAAGGTTTGACTTAAACATTGTTCTAAACGACTTCTTTTATAAGTACAGAGGGAGCGTACGTTGAGCACACACACTTCAATTTAAAGTTGGTTTATGCGTAAAATTTCCCCGCTAGCTAGCTAGATTCTTTCTTGCATTTTATATATTGATTGTTATGTTCCAAATCCAATTGGACAAACTAAATTAAATTAGATTAGATCTTTCATCTAGTTATTTTTGGAGCATTAAATGACCTATATATAGGTAGCGCAAAAGGTAACACGGAGTATATATTACTTTCACTACTATATATTAATTTCAAATTATGTTTCAATACTTACAAAATCACATACACACAACTCACTAGTACAGCGATCAACTAATACACATATTTACTACGTACCGTATATATATTGGATTTCCTCCAATAGCAGTACACACATGTACTACAAGTATTGCTAATTTGCTATAGCCTCACAGCAATAGTATTATGCATGCATGCATACACTTCTGCATGCAAATAGCGGACTTGTTTTTCTTGAATATTAGTAGTAGCAATAATTAGCATGGCAAGAATGTATGCATGCACAGCCCTTGTTAAGGATCGAAGCCAAACATGTCGTCGTCATCCCCAGGAAGATTCCCAAAGGAGCCAGTCATGAACCCGAGGCTGCTGGGAGAGGACGGGAAGCTGCCGGCCATGTCACCTCCGGCGAGCCCTGACGGCCAGTCGTAATCCGCAGGCGCTGAACCCACGATCGACGTCGACGGCGTTGTCACCGCCGATCCCACCACGGCGGAGAGCGGCAGGCTGCTGCTGAGCGCCGCCGCCTCGCTGGCGCACTCCGAGGACAGTACCGGAGAGTGGCAGTTGGCGAAGCTGCAGGACGGCGTCGGATCAACGGCTTCTGCCATCAAACGATGGCGGCTCTGACGAAGAGGGTCGACTCTGCTTGTGCTCGCGCCGCCGCTGGATCCGAAGCTGATGAGGTTCGCGTAGTCTGCAGCGGGAGCTTCGGCCTCGACGACGAACGGGATGGTGGAAGGGTCGCTGCAGGTGTGCTCACCGTAGTAGCTGATGACGAACTCCGACGAGTTAGACTCGGAGGTCTGTACTTGCTTTGTGGCCATACAACCTTGGTCTGGCCTATGCGTGCACCTGTAGTAGCTCCTGCAGAGAGATCAACAACTAGATCTTTAATTAAGGAATGCAAGCTGCAAAATTGCATCGTATGATGCTCCTGAATAGATAACATGTTACAGCAACGATTTGGTGCTAACTATGCTATGTTGCTATCTAATAATAAATACACAGTTCAAGTTGAGCAGTATTTTCCTACTCTTTTTAGTAATTGCAACAACTAACTAATACAGTTCAATTGAATTAAGCACATGTGTATTGGAGTAGTATATATCTAACTATGTGAAGCTAACCATGATCCGGCCGGAACCGGAAGATCGGAACACTATTCTCCAATTAACTGGAGTAGCTAAGCGAGTTGTCCAGTTGCATTGGCAAGTGTTCGATCGGCCGGTACAAGGGCCTTTAATTTCTTGCTGGGTTAATCATCATTACGTACTAGCTAACTACCATGCACAAGGGCGAAGAATCTGGTCATGTTACTGCAGAATTAGTTGAATAATCTATACGTACATACCTTGGATTATTTGGGGAGTCCTGTATATGTTTCTGCCCGTACTTTCGCCATTGCCTGCCGTCCTCCAGCTCCTTGGTCGTGACCATCCTGACAAAAGGACTTTTCGATCTGCCACATGTTACAGCAGATAGGAGCAACTATCATATCCAGAGACACACACCCAAATCTCCACTAGCATGCTCGGCAGACCACGGTATGTACGTATACAAGAGTGTCATATATATAGCTAGTTGCTCATAGCTTTTGGTCTTTTCAATATAAGAAACAGGAAATGATCTTTTGTGAGAGAAGAAAGCTACTGGTAGTAAAAATTCCCCCCTGATCATTGGCACGTAAAGTTAAGATTAAACCCCACTGCTAGACAAGGCAATATACTCCCAACGTACTCTCCAAGTTGCATAAAGGAGGTAGCTAGCATGATGTGTGAATCGCTATCATATATATGGGTAATAGTATTACTACCGCATGTGGTAAGCATAGCTAGCTAGTTGCGCATCCAGTTGCAGATGATTATTGAGAAAAAAGGGTTTTAACTTTCTTCACCTTCTTCTACCGGAGCTGCTCCGCCTGTGCGGCCCGGCCACGGCCTTGGCGCCTTTCTTCTTCCTCCCGCCCGATCCTCTTCTTCCTCCTCCTCCTCCAGGCGACATCACCGACAGCGAGCTGGACTGCAGCCTGCTCATCACCCCGTCTATCAGCTGATTCAGCTGCCTGGTGCTCGCCGCCGCCGCACAGCTCGACGGCGATGTCCCATGTAGCATGCTGTGGAGCATCGCCGCTTGCTCGCGCATCTCGAGCAGGTCGTCCATAACTTCATGTGGCTCCGCGCCGCCGTCTCCAACGCCACCATCAGGAGACGCCATGGGAGGAGCCGCTACTATAGCTAATTGCTGCTGCTAGCAGTCTAGTATTACTAGGAAAGCTAGCAAAGTAGGAACTAGATATTCTCAGCTTTGCTACTCTTGTATTGACACCTGCTCATCAGCCGTAGCTAGACTGCTAGAGTAGATAGGTTATTGGGCAGCAGCTGCAGTTTTTATTGGTGTGCTCGGTGGGAAGTTGAGAGGAAAAGTAGACGACGAGGGCGATCGGGAGGGGGGGAAGAGGAAGAACAACTCACCAAAGGAAATGGCTTGGAACATGGAAGGAGGGGCCCAGCTGGATGTGTGTCGCCTGTACGTCATCGCCGTGACGAGGCCGTGAGCTCATGGACGGTCGGTTCATGCTCCATGCACGGCCCGGCTGGTGCTAGTGAACCCCTGAGAAAAAAAATGGCAGTACTGGAAATCGTATATAATTAAGATGATTGTTTAATCACTGGGAAAATGTGGAATGGTCCTAGCTAGCTCCCAACTGTGGTGGAGAAATTCATGCTTGGTTCTTTTCATTTATATATGGTATATGGAATGCATAGTTATATTGCAAGTGCAGCAGTTGTTTAATTTCAAGCCATTGCATGCGTTAGATGCCTATCTTCTTGTAGATCTGATGGCAGACAATTTTTCACTACTACTTGCCTAGTGATGATGCTAGCACTACAGCTGTTATTAGTTGATGTATAGTTGTCACTCATACATTTTCTAAGTGGCATGTTGGCACTTGAATATTAGAAGTTTTCACTTAGCATGCAGTGCAAGCTAACTGAAGGACAAGTAGAAGATATACACGTGTTACCTTTGCTCCTTCACTGGTCATGCATACAAGTCATCACACATCCGGTACAGGACGTTGAGGGATAAGCAATATATCGATCATAGCAACTATAAACTCTCTCCCCTGCTCCCTGAAAATAATGTTTCTCCATCCATTTTGTGCACTGTACGTGCACACAGCAGCAAATTGTCCAAGTGGAGAGCATCTGCTATCTGCCAAAACAACAACTGCTCAAAGCAATTTTCTTACGAAAACATTTCCATCTAGGTAGGATGACTGGAAACAAGGATAACGGAAACACCCATGGAGACCACCCCCACATTAGTTTATTCTAGGGCAAAAGCCCCTGCCTGTAGTTTCATTTCTTATTATATGTGTGGGAAACACTTTCTCCCACGTACTTTTTCGTTCCAAAAAGAATCGGTTTTTAGATGCTTGTAAGACTACTGTAAGTACATATTCAAGGAGAAGCTCTGAACTTAAAAAAAAACGGGGGAAACAATGAAGCAGGAGAAGAGAAAATATTGCCCAGCTGCCTGTCAACTTGCATAGCCGAATAGCACTCGACGCAAGCCGACATGGGAAACACAGGCTTACCACAGGCATAGAAGAATAATTAGGACCCCAACCACTTCCTAAATAATGAAAGTAAATACCCCCCATCGGTAACAGAAACAGTATATGTGTCCATAAATCTATGTATGAAGACAAACATATAGTGGACCACAAATGACAAAAGAAATGGCACTTCTCGGCATGTGAGTATGTGACAACTGTCTTCCAGTAAGAACAATAGCTTGACCAAAAATGATCTGAACTGATCTTTCATTTACTAAAGCAATGTTCATAAACATGTACACATGTTAAGGATATTTATTACCTATCAAAAATCAAAAGGAAAATAAGACGGCGGGTTTTATACAATGATACACATGCTTCTGTCAGGCTAACTAACTAAATTTCACAACATCTCCTTAAGTACATACCCGATGCTCGGGGGTGTCCTAAACATTCTATCACTGATGCCAGATTCTAATATAATGATCCGAGAAGCTCCAGACCATAGTATATCCCTACCTTCTGTAATTTTAACATAATTTAGAACTAAGAAGGCAATCGATAAATCCAATTAACTAAAATATCTACAGCATCAATTATTTCAACCTCTTTCATTGCCTCTCCGAGTTCCAGTTGAAAGAATAAGTCAGCTGATAACTTAATGCTGGTTGTCATGTTGCTCCAATAACCTCCTTTCAGCAGCTAAGCCAGCTGCAACAGATGGAGGTAAACTTCTCATATGCCCACCGGCCCCACCGTAATTCTTATTCTCCTGTTCTGAAGGCTGATCAAGTGTTGCCACAGGAAATAAAGACTCAATATCCTTCAGTGTCAAAACAAGCTCATCTTTGAAATTTTTTGATTTACGGTGTATCGTGGAGCAAACAGCTCTGCCCCTGTTTAATTTGTAGATGCTCTCTTCAATAGTATTCTTCACCTAAAAACAATATAATGCTTTAGGAATTTCTCCATGGATGGTTTAAATGAGATGAAGTAGCTCAGGATTTGGTGCTTACAATAAAACGGTGGATAAACGTGCTTTTGTCTTGCCCAACTCTATGGATCCTGCTGATAGCTTGCGCCTCAGCTGCAGGGTTTAACAACGGCTCCACTAATATTACATGTTGTGCTTCCAAAAGATTAAGACCATTTGCACCATGCTGGATAAGCATTAGCAATACTTGAGCAGGTTGCATCTTGGAAAATGACTTCTTTGCTTTCTCTCCACTTATACTACTTGCCAGACCTTTGAACTGGGCAAGCGCTGTTTGCGATTTTCTGTGAAAAGTAACACACTTTCAGTAACCCCATTGTCATTGTCCACAAGATTCAAGCATATAGAAGAGGACCCTCCTTGGTGATAATCATCTAGCAATAGGACTAGAAGCAGAGTAGGGGGAAAAAATCAAGTTTTAACTTAAAGAAATACTCCCTCCGTTCAGAAATATAAGGCATATTATGTTTCATCAGGATAAGGCTTTGACTAACAATTGCTTTACTAATATACTCCCTCCATCCCAAAATATATTAACTTCTAGCATTCAAAATTTGTCCCAAAATAAAACAACTCCTCCACCTACTTCTTCTCAACCAATCAAAACCCTCCCCATTGAATTTCTCCACTTACTCCATCTTCTTAACTAATCACGGCATTCTCCCATTTAATTCCACCTATTTCTTAATATATGTGCCCAACCCTAAAAGTTCTTATGGGACGGAAGGGAACATTATTTATGCGACACAAAAGCATAATCATAAGTAAGTCTGAATACGAATCTAACAACATCAATTTTGTCACAAAAATTATATCCTAATAGAGTAATTGTTGATCAAATCCTTGTCCTAACAAAACAAAGGAACAAAATACAATTTATATTTTTGAATGGAGAGGAGTATAATCTTGTATGCACTTTGCGCTACCTTCAAAAAATGTGTATAAACAGATATACAATATCATTACTCAGCTCAGCATAGTGAGAAAACTCAGCCTTGGTTACGAGTATCTCACCTTCCTCCTTTCATCCGAACATAAGAGATATTGTTAGCGGCAAGGGAGTGCTCTAGCACATCAAGAACATCATTCCAGCTTGAAAAAACAAGTATTTTGGCTGCTCCGTCAGTTGAAGTGATCCTCAAAATCCTTCTTGTCACAGCTTCAATCTTAATTACAATAAATCACCAAAATAAATTAATCAGTTATTGCACCCAACCTGAAGATAGAACTACTAAGGAGCATGAGTTTGGTAGTTTGGTCAGTGATTGCACGTGCATTCACATTGCACCAACTTTTATGCTCTGTAGAAAAATTGTGACAATATAGGCAGGTCTGTGCCTATCTTATCAGGGATAAAAAAACAATTGTATAATTAGGAACTTACTTTGTGTTATGAGCATGGGTCAGAATTTCTCTGGCAGCGGTTTTGTTCACGCTGAACAGTACCACACAGTACGCCATTAATTTAGGTATCAGGATAAATGGTTTTTATATTGTATATTCCCATTAAATTTTTATGGATATACTCGTTTCTATATTTGATAATTGCAAGTACCAAGCAATTTAAGATGACATGAAATCTATCGTATACATGTTATTATATTAAAATAGGGTAAATATGGATTAATATAATGATGTTGATTGATTTGATTCTGCTATGATTGTATGAGAAATAAACCTAAGAGTTGTATATTAAATACAATTCTACTTTCAATGCAATTTTATTTAGCTCTGCGCAAACGCATGGGAAATTCACCTGGTTAGTTAATTCAAAAGGCAATTACTTGCTTTATGCAAAACAGTAACTATTGCCTTCTATGCAAAACCAGTACAAACAGACATGTGAAGTCTAAACAAAGTTGCTATGCAGTATCTGCCTTCTAAATGTAATATAGCAGGTTGTAACTCAATAAGCAGTAATCAGATATTTGAAATGCGGGACATATAAACAATTACAAGGAAATTAAATAAAACCTTTGTTCCATATGAACCTTGGACAGAAATAGCGCTTTCTGCCAAATCCTCAATTTCTCTATCAGCATTTCCTCTCTGGTTTTCAACTACAAAAGCAACATTTTCAAGATCTGTACGTTGACGGCAAGTAGGGCACATAATCCATTTTTTGCTCCTCCCAAAGTGGGCTGCAGCTTGTTCTGTCATGTAAAGACAGCCTGAGAGCAGTGAATAGATAAATTCAGTAAAGATCAAGAGTTTAGTATACATCAGATGAATAAAATTGTCATGGATAGATCAGCATGGAACTTGGAGTTGGAAAATTGAAAGATCAACAGAACCAATCTATAATACAAAACATAGGCACATGTGTTGCATGCTTACAACAGAACAGAAACAGTAGAAACATTAACTACGTGACAAGTTGTCTTTCTTCCACTGAAATAAATTTAAGAAAAATAGCATAAAAGTATAAGTTGTAAATAAAATAGAAGACAACTCTTGGGATACTCACACTTGCAGCAAACGAAATGGCCACATTGGAAAACCATTTTCTGGTCAAAGATCTTCTCCTGACAAATTGGGCATGGTTCATTGATAATATCAGAAGCAGTTTGCCCTGTGGCAGGGATGGAAGTTGCTATAGCAACACTGTTGCCTGACTCGGGCAGTGATTCACCATGCTTGCCCAGTGGTTTCTTGTTGGATAGCACCAATCCCTAAAAGTAAATAAAATACAATGAGAATTTCTAAAATAACAGATAAGATGGGTTATGGATTCTTATGGGAAAATTAAGAAAGATAATGCCTGATAATAAAGTAGATTCTGTATTGAAAGGAGGCAGTTATATACTTTTATCCAAGTAAATGATGAGAGCTGTCCAGGTGGAAATTATACAGTTGAGCAGTGTTTAGAAATAAATGGAATGTAGAATATGTAAAATAGAATATCAAATTCACGGCAGAGTGCAACCCATGATAGCAAGTATTGACCTTTAAGTATCTGAGTTGGCCTCTTATACGAGCTAAAGATGACAAAGACAAGAATTTTTCACTTGTAAACTGCACATTGTATGGTATAAGCTCTTCTCTAGTAACAATATTGACTGCACTGGGTTCATCATCTTTCTCCTTGAGCTGCAGGCGTGAGAGAGACATCTTGATCTCATCATGGGCACGCAGTAACTGGGTCTGTGCTATTGATAGATTCCTTGCTTGAGAGAACTCCTTGCGCATAGCCTACATTAGCACATAATGGTCAGACAATATCCTATCTCGTGGTATTTTTGAACCTTCACATTTTAGACTAAAACATATGGATCACTTAGTAAACAAAGATTATAAGGTTTGACATGTGGAAAGGTTCCTAATTAGATTCACCTCCATCTTTCCATATGTTCTCTAGACATTACAAATGCAAGTGATCTAACAAGACAATAGTAAATTTTACATTGATGCAGGTTAATGATAACAAAAAGAAGTTCTGCTGCAGGGGGGAAAATACCAAGACACAGTAAAATAGAGATAAGATACTCATGTTTTATCATTCCGACTCAATAATAATGTTTTGTTTGCTTTTAATTTACTACAAAAATCAAGACACAGCAAAATAGAGATAAGATGCTCATGTTTTATCATTCCAACTCAAATAATAATGTTTTATTTGCTTTTAATTTACTACAAAAATCAAGACACAGCAAAATAGAGATAAGATACTCATGTTTTATCATTCCAACTCAAATAATAATGTTTTATCTGCTTTTAATATACTACGGTGATAAAATTTATTTCAGCAACTGCAATTACCAGCTAAAACATGTCAGAAGAGAAGGCAGTGACATTAAAAATATTTTCTGTACCTCAAAAAGCAGCAAATTCTTTTTAGCAATTTTAGCAGATTGCTCTCCCATTATTGTCTTTGAGTGGGTTAGAATAACCCTTAAGGAAGTCTCAATTCGAGAAGGATGCCTGTAGACCTGTAAACAGCAACCATATAAAAACATAAAAATGGTAGATAAAACATAAATGGATCACTATATATGCACTTTTAATTGCCATAGAAAATCCAAGAAATTTATAAACCATTTCAAAGTAA